CCGCCTTGCGAAGGCGCGAGCCTGGGCGTGCGTCTGGGAGCGCGCTATGAGGGCGCGAAGTTATCGTACTGTTTTCAGAGGGGGTCGAATTTCCCCGCTGCGCTGTGAGCGACCCAGTCCTGAAGATCCCGATTCCCGTAATATTAGTTACCTCTATTGTAGATAGCAAGAGCGGTTTTCGAAAAAATCACTTGCGACACCACGAAAGATATGAGACTCTTTACTCGAACTAAGGAGGGTATGGCGAAGGTTTGCGCGGTAGCCCTGTAACGCATCGTATGTAGCCCACACCCCTGACGAAACATCACGGGAGAACTGGATACGGGTGAAAGCTTCTGTAGGTAGTCCAGCCAAATACCAACGAGGTATGCATATTGTGATGTAGACTTGACAAAATGGAGTAACGAACTGCCGGACAGTACGAATTCGATCCCAGCTTGCCATCCAAATATGACACGCTGGCTGCACGAATCAATACAAACCACGTCAGCGCAACGGAAAGAGTAAAAATGTTCTCCCGTGCCCGTCTATAAGCCGTACAACAGCAGTGATGATACCATACACGCACACCTGCCTACTCTGCTGTGTTGGGTACCTTAATCTCGCTTTTGCTGTTGCTTTTGGTTTTTGTACATCTGCCCATCTGCCGCCTCTTTGTCCCGTTTGCTCCGTTACTACCATGCCCTGGNGTAAAAATGTTCTCCCGTGCCCGTCTATAAGCCGTACAACAGCAGTGATGATACCATACACGCACACCTGCCTACTCTGCTGTGTTGGGTACCTTAATCTCGCTTTTGCTGTTGCTTTTGGTTTTTGTACATCTGCCCATCTGCCGCCTCTTTGTCCCGTTTGCTCCGTTACTACCATGCCCTGGTGCGTAGTGGCTGGTGCTGGTACGTTACCCTTTGATTTTTTCTTCAGGCGGGTGTGGGAAGCGTCCTCCTTTATTTTTGTCTTTGTTTTATTTTGATCGGTTTCCGATGGCTCTTTTCTCGAACGGTCAGTGCAGTAGCTGTTATTTTCTTTCTATCATTTTGTTTTCTTTGTCCGAGTGGTTTGTGCCCTATTTTTGTTTTGTTTCCCCGCGGCGTCGTATGTGCCGGGTTTTGAGACCACGGGTTCCCTATTTTTTGTAGACTATAGAGCTAATATGAGAAATAACAAAACACCTCAAACTTGGAACAGTATAAGGGTGCCTCCGACGACGCACCCGACAAACCAAACTACCCAACACAATCCTTCCGTACATTTTCCCAGCATAACATGCAGATAGATGCACAAAATGGCTACCACACTGTCTTGTTGACCCTGTTTCCCACGGGGGACATGTCGCTCTATGCTGCTTGGGAAATCATGGAAACATAGGTAGTCTGACGCTATGGATTCATTGCTAATCTGTCTTGGACTCTTCAAGATCTACGAAAAAAATAAAAATCAGATAGTGCCGAGCAGCGGACCGGACTTCAGCAGTAGGTGCGGGGCGCCCTGCAACACTGCGCTGTACTGATTGAGAATACAAGACTGGGATTGGGAGAGCGGACGGCCCAGGAAGAAATATGTGCGTTCCAAATACAGTTGAGACGAAAGTTTGATTCGCTCATCTATGCTACTAATAGACGACTGCTGTTGTGTTTGGTAGCGTACCATTGTATGTGGCTTGGCCTCGAGAAGTACGTAGCAGCAACAACGCGGTTTATATCGTAGCTTTAGCGAAGTTGCTGTTATACGTTGCAGCTTTCCTACACACCACTCGCGTGGAAGATCGTAGAAGCAGAGAGGCTCATCCCATGCATGCGTATACAACAGCGGGTCATATGGGAAGTAGGTGCTGGGTGCCCTCTGCTGCATCATTGTCCAACATGCGCAGAACGGTTGCACCGACATTGGCATCCGGCATTCGGAGGCCGCTGTCAGAATCCATCATCAAACTACGGTCTACAGCAGTAGTCTAACTGCTGTGTGTCTGCTTCGGCCGGTATTTTCATTGTTCTTGAACTGTTTTTGTTTTTCATGGGTGAATACACGAAGAGTGTGGTACTCTACAATATGCTACGCTGAAACACGTGGAGACTACTTACTGCTGCATGTAATACACGTTTCAGCACGAAAAATGGGGGGACTACTACTGTCGCCTCTTCCCCTCGCTCCTCGACAAGCTTTTGTTTAGACATGGGTTGTAGTGAAGGGGGGGGTCTTTCTGGCGAGCAGGGCTAGACTCACCCTCAAGGGATGACCGAAACCTTCTTGCTGCTGCGCATATCCGCCGCGAGGCATGCGCGTGGTGGTGTAGTTGGGTCGGCACTGATGGGGTCAG